CCTGAGTTGAAATACAGTGTTAAAGGATTATACCCTCATGGAGGGGAATTGAGGACAACATCTCCAAACATAATATAAAACATGATATAAATGAATATCAAGTGGCAGTCTTTATCCTTCAAGCTCAGGTCCTCTACCAGAGGCCTGGGAGCTTTAGGGTCCTGTGCAGTATCTTTGCTGTTCCTAGCACTGCACTCTTGTATATAGATAGATAAACAGACAGACAGATAGATTCAAAGCTCCTCTTTGGATTTTCAGTACAGTTCTTGTGTAATTTGGCATGCCTCAGCCTTTTCTCCCTGTCCCCCCCCTTCAGAATAGCTTCTTGACAGCCACCCTTCCACTGAGACTGTCATCCGTTTTTTAGGACACACTGCACACCATGCAAGTCACGCTTTCAGCTAATAGCTTTTTTTCTGCCTGTCAAACTGTGATCTTCAGCATTTTTCGTAGACTCAACAGTAACATGTAACAAAGTGCCTAAACGTGTCATTTAAAATAGGTTCTTTTGCTCTGCTCCCAGCTGTGTGTTGACACAACATTGGTTCATCCTTTAGGAGCTTTTTTATGCTTGAATGATTCATAGATCAGAGTTAAGTGGTTTAATAAACAAAACACATCCTCAGAAAACAGTTAGGTAAAAGGACTGCACGGAAAAAGAGTGAAAAAGTAGCCAATTCCAAAGAAAAGCTCTGAAGGAACATCAGAAAGTTGCTGCTCAAGACCACTATCTATCTATCTATCTATCTATCTATCTATCTATCCATCCATCCATCCATCCATCCATCCATCCATCCATCCATCCATCCATCCATCTTATGAAAAGTCACTGATTCCATTACTATAAAGCCATGTATCAGATATCTTAGACTATTTCTGTTCCACAGCAACCTCCACCTGAGTTGCTTTTTATTTACAGCAGCGCTTCGCTACATACCCAGAGGACAGTAGGCCGACTTTGCTTCTGTTCTAACACATGCATCTTGTGATAAAATGCATGAAACACACGTCAGCGTGGCCCAATTCTTGAAATGATCTGGCCTGAGGTACCTTGCTGTAGACGACAGGCATAAACCCAGCAGAAGTGTCCTTGAGCAACAGCACTAAACGCTTCCTAGGTCTGGGGCTTGCATCCTCTAACTGACCTTTAAACATTCACACTAGACCATCAGTAGATGGAAGAACTGCAGCACTGACTTTGCGGTCAAGGTATTTAGAAGAAATAGCTCGACATTTTTCAAGACACACCAATTTTTTTTTTTTTTAAAGATGAAAAGATTGATCACAGTTTAATTTCTTTAGACACAAAGACCAAAACAGAGGGAGCCTGTCTCTGTCAAAAGGAAAACAATGAAAAAAACAGTTAAACTAGAGGCACCTCTGCATCTCACTAATTAACACATTATAGCCTAAGTGAGCTTGACTAACAACAACAGTGCAGAAACAGAAGTTAACACATACACTGTTGTTGTAGAGGTTTGAACCCTTTGGAATTTTTACATTTCTCAAATAGGTCCTAAAACATCACCTGATTTTCACACAAGTACCAAAAGTAGAAATTACCTAATTAAAGGTAACGACAAAGAGATTGAAGAAAAGGACTCTTTGATCCAATTCTAGTCATTTGCTCTTTTACTGGTTTAGATGGGGACATCATGTCAGTATTTTAATATGCAAGCAGTCAGTATCAATATAATCACAATAATCTTGATATAAAATTGCATTATTTTCCTAACAAAGGTGGCATGCCTTTCACACACCCTAATAGAACAGAATAGAATTCAACTTTTCTATTCTATTCTATTAGGGTGTGTAATAACGTGTAATTGTAATGTGTAATTAGGGTGTAATAACTGCAACAGCTCACAGTTCTTACACATAATATCTTCATTTTCATTTTCTGAAGGGAAAAAAAGCAAAAAATCTATAGTAATGAAAGAAAACTGGAAAGAAACACAGGAGATACTTGACAGTTTGGATAATGATTTAGGAAATGTGTAAAATGACCTATGTAAGCTATTCAACCCCAAGTAAGGTGACTCATTTGTAAAAATTCCCCCGATATAACTGGCAGATAGGATCAAACGGAGCAACTGTTCCTGAGTGGACCATACCTCTCACACATCAGTGTTATTACCAGATTTTCATTAACCTGATGAGGATTTTGTAGCATGAACCTGTTTCTGCGCTGATTTCTTTTCCTAATGTCCGCAGTTCCCAGCTCACACACAAGGACACCAGAACATGTGAACGTTTGTGTGCATGCGTGCATTCATGTGCGCGTGTGCGTCTGTGCTTTGTGCACGCACCTGGATGAGGTAGTGTGAGCAGAGGCTGAGGAGCTCCAGCAGCTGAAGGTGGCTGCCTGCAGACAGGACGTCCTGGATCACTGCTGGCTCCAGCAGAATCTGGTTCAGAGCATTCAAACAGGGTCATTAGGTTTCTTTTTTTAACATTTGTGTCTGAGTGTCCGTTTCACTGCAGCTGAGCTCTAGGTTGTTTTCAAGTGATGCCTTTTTCTGAACTTTAGTACTGTACTGTATATTATTTATTGATAATCACTGTTTCTTTTAACTGTTCAGGTTCAGGCACACGTTTTTATCTATGGTATGCAGAATGTCTGAAGAAGTCACTTGGATGAATGACGAAATGTCGAGATGAACACATCCAATTTTCTTGGAACATTTCAGCAAATTCCCTCTGAAGAACCACAAGATTTCTGGAATAATGTCTTTAATATTTATCCATAATGCACCATGCTACATTTGATAAAAACTAAACACAGCATTTTAGCCCAGAGACATTAATCCAGCTATCAAGCATGTGAGAAAAAGAGGATTTATTTTTTCATGTCCTAACACATACAACCTTAGAACTAAAAAAAAGTATATATATATTTGTAATTTCTTTCTTATTTTAACTTTAGTTGGGCTAAGTTTGATTTCTACTGGTTAAATGTAAAAATGTTTCGGACACTGCAACAGATGATGCGGAAACAAAAACAAAAAAACCCTGCTTGACCATTGTGCTTGATTTGCCATTATTCTCCTTGCAGCGCAGCAACATATTCAGGCAATTGTTTCTGCACAGATTCTTCCAAAATGCTTCCTGTTTAAATGAGCAGCGGATGAAAATTATGCACTGAAAGCTTCCTTCTGTTTCCTCCATATTACCCACCCATATGCAACATAACGCTCTGTAACGCAGCCAGTTCGTTCTCGTAAGCTCTTAGGAGCAGAGGGGTGGAGAACTGCGCAGAGGGTGGCATCACTTAAATCGTAACCCAGTCAGACTAGACACCATGCTATCTCCCTCATCCTGTGGAATCACCTGTCCCACAGTTTAGATTGGTTTTAAAAACAAACAAAAAAAACAACCTACAAAACCTTTGATAATCCCTTTAGCAGCTCTGCCCTACATATCCACAGAGCTGTGACTGCATCAGCAGTGAAAGTGTGAAAAATGACTTCATCGTTTGTCTCTCTCACCCATCGGTACTGTTGCCACAGTAATGGACTGAACATTGTTTAGCAGGCCTCAGGAGTATCAATTTTGCTGGAGCCTACTGATTATTTATGAATCTGAACAACAAAATGAGCAGATCTGAATACAAATGTGTTACTTAATTCTACTGCATGTTTGTCCATTCAGTCTACATGATTGCTCTCACTGCATTATAACGCATTATTTGGCCACTTTAGGATTCATGTAAACACTTCATTTGAAATCATCAGGCTACTTGTTTATAATAGTATAATATACAACCACTTAGAAAATATTCCCAGCAAGCCGCTCTGATAAAAAAAAATTTCTACCCTCCTTCTCCACAATTAGCTGCATCTGCACATTCCCATTTATCACAGTATGGTTTCCTTCCAGGCCTGGGCAGCAATCCAGTTAACAAGCCGCACCATCTATGGGCCTCGTAAGCTTAACATATTAAGACAGAGAGCAATAGCAAGTGGTTTTCGCTTCATTAACAAGAATCTAGATACACTGAGCTAGAGAAGAAAAAAACAGCAGAACAGAGCAGATAAAAATGTTGATTTGAAAAAACTAATTTCCAAGCACCTCTTCATCTATTCTGTGACTATGAACTGAGGAAAGCATGCTATCAAAAACATCAAACCCCGCATTTTTTCCCTTTTTCACTCAATCAGCATCCTGTCAGGCAGCAGCAGCAGCAATGATGACTGTAATAACAGTAAGTGAACTCTCTTCATATCGTGCTCTCCTATCCACTCCAGAAGCCCACTACAGTTAGAGCACCTCTACCTCACACAGCAGAAGTCAGTTTTATAACTCCGTGCCCGCTTCAGTGTGGGAGTACAATGAGCTCTTGTGTAAACCAGCAGTTATTGCCGCTTACTAGCTTTCACCTGGAGGAGATATAAAATGGAAGAAGATGCGTGTAAGGCAGAACGCATGTCCTCTGCCATGTGATCTGGTACCGTGTGGCTAATAAAACTGTGGCAGCGCTGCAGGATGTTTAATTGATTGAGAGATCCGCTGTGGTTGGCAGCCAGTAAAAAAATAAAAGAAATCCTATGAAGCTACTGATGGCATGCCTCCTCCTTCACCCTGCTGGCCTATGACATGTGGCTAAAGGATTTTTAGTAGGTCATTATTAACGGTCTGGGGGTAAGCTTATTGCCCTCATCTCATCTGCTATCATCTCCTCTGGGCAGACAGGAGCTGAGCCAACCAAAGCGGGGCAGCTTGCAAGCCTGCTGTTGACCTACTTACACTGGCTAACCGACTCACTCTTTGCTCATTTCCACTGTGGAAATAAAATTAGGAGTAATTACAAAGTTCCTGGCCTCTTGGTACACAAAATAAGCCGCTGGGCTGCTTAGTGAAGCAAGAATCATTGGCACAAAAAATGTCAAGAAAGGTTTACAGGAATTCTCACGCACTCGTTCTTTGTCGACTGGGCGACAAGACAAGGACATGAACTCACAAGAACCTTTAGCACTGAAATGTAATTGTGTGCTCTTCTGTTTTTATTTTAACCAGAGTGGCCAGGGCAGGTGCATAGTTCATAGTTCATAGTAAAAATCTGATAAAGCACCTGCACACTCAGTCATCCAGCGGTAGGAGCTTATGCTGCTGAGATTAAAGAGGTAATCTGCAGAATCCATGTTTTTATTTAGTTTTGTGACATATTTGGCACTGATAGAATATTAAGTTATTTTCAGCTTTAAAGTAAATGTACAGTATTTGAGTATTTCACATTTGTATGCTGTTTTTATACTCCCCTTTAATTATAAAATATAGCCAGCACATAGGATTTTTAATCTACTAACATCAGCTTGGTCATCTTATGAACTACATAATGCTTTTTGACAGATAACCCTCTGGCATTCAAAGTAGTCAAATTTATCTTTACTTTGACCAGCCACAGCGTCTCTACTACTAGCAAAAACCAGGCCCCTGGTGCTTGTTCGCTTTGCTAATATATGAAAACACAGATGTGTGTTCATTTATCATGTTATTATTTTTTTTATCTTATTTTTATTTATTATTTCACCATATATAGTGAGACAGTAAAAACTGATTTTCATAAATAATAAATACACACATTCATTGTTCTTAAATCAATTACCAGCATCACTGTTTGATGAACACTTATTTACAGGTATGCATGACAACACAGTCCCAAACTGCAAAAAACTGTTTGGCAAGATATTTACTAACAAGCAACAATATATCTGTGAAGGTTCTCAGTCATCCAGGTCATCGTAGTCTAAGGAGCTTGGAAAGAAAAGCGTCTGGACTTCTTTAAGTTACTTGAAGACGTTTCACCTCTCATCCGAGAAGCTTCTTCAGTTCTAAGGTCAAATCACCTTATCATGTGATTTCCTGAGGTCAGATGGCCCAGGATGTGAGTGGACGTTAAGGCGTCTGGGAAGGGAACTCAAAACTGGATTATAGATTATAGATGGCAGACAGTTGGTATCATAAACCACCGCCTCTGTTCAAAGATGGTCGCTCACAGTGGACGTAAATGGCTTCTTTCTCTCCTCTTTCAAACCATCTGTCCTCTCTGTCCAAAATGTGAACGTTGGCATCCTTGAAAGAGTGACCTTTATCCTTAAGATGCAGATGAACTGCTGAGTCTTGTCCTGTGGAGGTGGCTCTTCTATGTTGTGCCATGCGCTTGTGAAGTGGTTGTTTGGTCTCTCCGATGTAGAGGTCTGAGCATTCCTCGCTGCACTGTACAGCATACACCACATTGTTAAGTTTGTGTTTAGTTTTTGTCTGAGTGTGTTGCTGGGTCTGAAGTACACTGGGATGTCGTGCTTGGAGAAAACTCTCCTGAGTTTCTCTGATACACCGGCTACATAGGGGATGACAATGTTGTTGCGTCTGTCCTTCTTATCCTCCCTCGCTGGTGTCTGATCTTCTTTTCTGTGCATCTTTGCTGACTTTATGAACGCCCAATTAGGATAGAAGCATGTTTTAAGTGCTTCCTTTACATGTGTGTGTTCCTTCTTTTTTCCTTCAGGCTTAGAGGGAACATGTTCTGCCCGGTGGTGTAGGGTCCTGATTACCCTAAGTTTGTGTTCCAGAGGGTGATGGGAGTCAAAGAGGCCTTAACGTCCACTCACATCCTGGGCCATCTGACCTCAGGAAATCACACGATAGGGTGGGACCAGGTTTCACAATGAGCTCACCTGAAACCCTGACTGATTGTGACCCACACCCGCTTTCATACCTTGGCTCATGTGATTAGGTAGAGGATCATCAGGGGTCCTTTGTCCCTCTTTGGGGTGAAACTCCCACTGGGTTTAAATCTGGGACTCTCCCCCATTTGACCTTAGAACTGAAGAAGCTTCTCGGATGAGAGGTGAAACATCTTCAAGCAACTCAAAGAAGTCCAGACGCTTTTCTTTCCAAGCTCTTTAAACAACAATATACATGTACATGTAAAGTGTATATATCAAAGAAGAACAGCACTGGAATCAATTCTGCAAATATTCTTCATAGCTTGTTAGCCAGTTATGTTGTGTGCTGCTATGCTAGCTGAGGGAGTTAGTTTAGTGTTTGGCTACTGTCTGCCAGTACTAAGAACATGCTGGTTAGCTTAGCATGCTGAGTAGCTGCACTGTGCTTGCTTATATAGCTTGGTTAGCTTGGCTAAATAAATTTGCTAAACCACTTGAGCGTTTATGTTGTCTTTATACGGTGTATTTCAGTGAACAGTAGGGAAAACAAACATAACTTGCATCTCAGAGATTGCTGCTAGCCAGCCCATTTACTTGTTTTCTAGGACTGTATATTTAAAAAATGGATGGATTTTGTCTCAGTCAAACAGTCAAGATGTGACTGAAGTCCAGACTTTCAGCTTTAACTCAAGGGGTTTAACAGAAGTATCTTTTTAACAAAGTGAATTCCAAAGTGGGGGCCAGTACTGCAGGTAGGCTGTAGTAATAACAGAAATTCAGTGTGAAATTATTTACAGTTGCATATTTATATATGTAAATTAATTTGTTTAGATAAAAAGTGAATTAAAACTGGTAATAGCAGGTAGGTAGTTTGTGATATTACTCATTGCTCTGACCTAAATTTACTTACTTTTGTATTGAAATTTGCATCCAGGTGGGTCACACATGGGCTTTAACACTTTACATATGGATGGGTGGTGATTTATAGCCAAAGGACTGTGTTGTTTATGTTTCCTGAATAAAACAGTCAAGGAAATACATCACTTTCTCTTGTATTTTCATTGGAGTGAAGATTTAAGTTTGGGTGGGCCCCAGGGGATTTTGTGGTTGCTTGCGTTATTACTGTATATTTTTATATTAAAAACATATATATTATTTCTTGCACTACAGGTTAAAGCATTTCATTCCAGAGAGGTTGCAAATTTAAAGCAACGAAGGCTGATCAATTGAGCAGGCCTAGACGTCCAAATGAGACGAAACTGCCAATCAGGCAAATGGGATCAGGCAATGTAGCTTAGCCTTGAAACAGTGTAGAAAGTAAGGCTGATTAGGCAGCCAAATAAGGATTCAATAAATCAGAGTCAACAAACTATGTCACCTGGCAGAGAACTTGGTTTCTAAACCTAATGATACATCAGAACAATTTAACAGTAGTAGTGGACGTTCACCCACAGTTTAGCAAATGTAATGATATGTACTGATAAATAACTTTCTGGATATTAATCTAAAAATTTCTGTGTGGTGTACTGTGATTTCTTTTCATGAGATTTTCTGTCGACAGCATTTCCATCTCTGCAAATGTTGTTGTTGTTTTGGGTTTTTTTTGTCAGTCTGCTCACGATGGCTCAAACTCACCTGTCCAGTGTAAGCGAAATCTAAAGCGTGCTTCAGTCCGACGCTGGTCACTCCCTGCAGAGTCACTTCATCTGCCTCGCTCTCCACCATGCACAGGCTGAACATGGCCTGATGACACAGAGCCAAAACATGGAGGTCAGCTGAGGGAACATTACATTACACATATTTCATGTGGCATTTTCTTTCTTTGTTGAAATAAAAGAAGCAAACACATATAATACTGTATTAGAAAAAGTCCAGTGATCACAACCATTCACATTTGTTTCTCCAGTCTTTCAGAGGTGGCTCTGGAGGTTCATCATATAAATATCTGGAGGTTACGACACACTTGAGAAAAAAAAACAAAAACAAAAAAACAGCCTGATAGTTAATCAAAACCTGCCAGACGCAGCATCCTAGAACCCTTTTCGTATTGATTTACCTGCCTTGGCTCTGAAGGTCAACAGAAAGAAATAGCACAATCAGTACTTTCTGTTATACCCCTCTGTCTTTCCCTCATCCTGTCTCACACACACACACACGTGCATGAGCACAGTACATGTCAAACTCCATGTGAAATCAAAGCCGTGGACACAGCATCTGCAGTCTGGCCCTGCTGTGTGTGAGTCCACCTTGCTGCTCGCTAATCAAAGCTATTGATTGGTGTCACACCATGAAGGGATGACAGCGCTATTGATCACGGCCAACCAGCAGTGCGCAGCAGTGTTGAGGGGAAGAGAGAAAGAAGGCGTTTTACAGGTTAAGCATGGCCATGATGACGATCATCTGCTACCTGTCACCTGAGTTCTGAGCTAGAGTAACGTTATACCATCTTTAAATGTGGTGTCTCAATGTTTCTCCTGTAATGGGACAAACAGCACCACTAAACCGCTTTTGAAAATTAATTCCAGCTGTTTCTGTATCCAAAGTTTCCTTGCTTTTCAGGATAGTGATCTTAGCTAACTTGCAATTTTAAAGTATCTTTTTAATCACAGTGCAATGTGCAACACGGTCGCTCCACTCTATCTCCACTGAGACGCTGGTGTGTGACAGCATTTTAAGCTTCAAAAGCCCCCGGGCTGCCTGGTTATCGCAGGATCTCCTTCTGTTGTGAAAGCCACATTCATTTCGCTTATAATGAATGTGGCTTTCCCTGATTCATAGCACACATGAACTTTCACCAGGCACCAACGCCCACCCCCTTCTCTGGCAAATGGCCCTTCTGTATTGTGAGCATGATGTGAGAAATAGGCTACGCTGAGTTTTAAACCAGTGTCTGCGTATCTGTCTTCAAAGCTCAGTCTTGTTGATTCACCACCCGGGATGTGATAGCGGCTGAGCTTTGGTCTGTCTGCAAGAACATAAAACACACACAAAAAAGCATTGAGACACAAGCAGGAAGTAAAGAGTGGAGGACAAACAATATAGACTGCCTACGATATACAGAGACAGGGCACCCTGAGAAGTGCTCATAGAGTTGTGTGCCTTCAGCATGAGCGCTCCTGACCTTGGTGAAGGAGCTCAGGGAGCACTGGTGGTGACGGATGGCTACCCTGATTTGGGATATAGATCTATCGCAGAGACACATTGCGCCACAGAGCCATGCTCGCTGCAGTCGTTTCACACACTGCTGCAGTGGGGGTGTAGCGTTGCAGTTAGCCTGACCCGCTGGCAAAATTTGTGTGTGCCTGCTTGGCCTGATCATACCATAGAGGACTCGTGACTTCCTCACGCACCCAGTGAAAAATTACAGTATTCAGTCTGAGAAAAGTAGTGGTTTATCTCCAGGGAAGGAGACTACACTTGCAAGTATGTTTATTAGAAAAGACCAAAAAGAATAGTTGACTGTATTTGGTAAATGGATGATTTTGCTTTTTGGGGCACTTCTAGGGCTGCCATGATTAGTCGACTAGTCACAATTACGTCGACTATCAAAATCGTCGACGACTGATTTAATAGTTGACGCGTCGTTTGAAGCTTTGTAAGATCCCAAAAGACGCAGGAATGAGTAGTAGGATTTAAGAGTGTAATAACGGAATGAAACAGAAGATGGCAGCACTGCATGTTCAAGGATGCCAGCTGCCGTTAAACCCCAAAGAAGAAGAAGTAGCTCTGTCCCAGAATTCATAGCGCGGCCCAGCTCAGTTTCCAACAATGGCGGCAGCTAGTTAGTTTTAATGTTATTCTTATTATTCTTTCTGGGTCGCAAAATAAACGTTTAACACATTTTCAGGTGAGAATGTAGCTGTGTAAACCTCAAATATCTGCTCAGTTTATCAAGACACCACATATTTTCAAAAGCGCTCCGACGTTTTCAGAGACGTCTGTTACCCACTAGCTCGATTGCTAGCCGGGGGCAAGCCTCACTAGAGCCCGTGAGAACACCTGTCTTTCGCTACTCAGGTTAAACATATATAAGTCACTTAGATAACTTAAAAATGTTATTGTTTGGCTTTGTTCCGTGTTTTATTTGTTCCTGAGTAAATCGGTTTGGCTGAGATTAAAGTTATAGTTTTTACACAGCTGAATAAACGTCAAGCAGACAGCTGATTATCAGAAGTGTGAGATGCTCGAGAATATACTCCGGTGTCCTGTTATATTTTAGAGAGCAAGGAGTTTATTAAACCGAAACAATCTGCAAATTTCATTAAAATTTAATAAACTATCATCTTGTCTTTATTTTTAGTTAGCACATACCTTAAACACTTAAAGCTGGAAGCTAATGATAGTTATATGAGAGCAGATGCTGCTGGTGCAATAAGCTGTACGTTTTATGTCCAATGGATGAAGATCTGATTAGTCGACTAATCGCAAAAATAATTGGTGACTAGTCGACTATCAAAATAATCGTTTGTGGCAGCCCTAGGCACTTCACTTTAATATTTCTATTTTACACTGATTCTTATCTTACAATAGAGAAACAAAAATGTCTTCTTTTTGTTTTAACTGAATTTTACATTAAAAATGTATGCTGGTCTTCCAATACTTTGAAAAGAAATTAGTTCTGCCCTCTACCTGGCTACCTTTATGATGAGCGTGCACAGTAATTAAAAAAAAAGTGGAGTAGTTTCATATACAACAACAATATCCCATTTAGGAAGACATTCTCCAATTTAATCTGTGTTTTTGCTTTGTGAGTGTCCAGTGGAATTTTCTTATAAACCTTTCAGACTGCATTTGTTTGTTCTTCTTTGGATTTTTCTGGCATTTTCCTATGTTCCTATGTTGCTGGGACCTTTAGATCAGAGAAAATAGTATTAAACGAGACATGTCTACACTTTGGTACTGCTTGGTAAAGTTTAATTGGAATGTTTGTTCCATAACTGCTGCAAGCTGTTAAATTGCCAGAGGCTCAGCTGTTAAGCTTTTTAAAGACCAATGTGTGTATCAGTGCATTTGGACTGAATCTGCCAACTGCTCTCGTTCTTGGTGCCAAGAAATGAGGAAGGTTTACAAGGATTCAGAGTACTTAGACTTTTACTTAAGACTGTGCACAAAAACTTGTGAAAACCATTCATTTGTTAATTTAACCTTCCTGTCCTTAACTGCCTCAGTAGAAAGAAATAAACATGGTCAGCATTTCTATGGTAAACTGCGTGGTGATTTTGTGATTGGATTTAGATGCTTAATATGTTTCAAAGTAGTGCTCACAGAGCACAACATAAAGGAAAGCTCACCACAAACCCAGGATATCAGCTGATATATAATTAGGGATGGGTACCGGTATCCGGTGCCATTATGACACCAGTTCTGACATAAACGGTAGTTTATTTCGGTGCTTTTATTTTTCCTGAGATGTCATACACTTTGGATTCTAGCCAATCATTTTACCTTTGCAAGCGTAGTAGGCGGGCCCAGGTACGTACGTTCTTTTAGAGCAGAGCTACAGATTAAAAATGCCCAAGGCGAAGCGGTCAAAATCGTAAAATTCCTGTATTTGTATAGCGCTTTACTAGTCCCTAAGGACCCCAAAGCGCTGGGAAACAGCTAAACATGAGAGGTTTTTAGACAAAATTGGTGTTTTTTCCATTGATTAAGCACTGCTTCCAGCCAAGAGTGATACCATATATGCCCTATAGCTGCAGAAAAGGCTAACATTGTTATCTTTTTACAAAAAAACAGCTAAACATAAGAGATTGTTGGACAAAGTTTGAGTTCTCCATTCTTTAAGCACCGGTTCGAGCACCGTTTAAACACTGGCACCGTTTCAAAAGTATCGATTTGGTACTGGTATCGGATAAAACCTAAATGATACCCATCCCTATATATAATTGGCAAATCTCATTTGGAGCACATTTTTTCATCTGCAAGCCACTCTGCAACCCACAGCTCCTGTTTTGGATGGACTGGTATCGATACTTACAAAGTGCTTGAGGATCAGTATCTTGTTTGATACTTCAACATGCAGACAGAGGAGCCAGGGACCAAATCACTGACTTTCTGATAGGCAGACAACCCACTCTATATGAGTCATGAACACAGTTTAATGCTGCATTTGACTTAATCTGTCTGTGTCCTTGAATCCTGCCCAATTCTGTGCCAGTGCACATGGAAGGGCTGGGAAGTTGCCCATGCCATCAAATTGTAACTTTTGCTGCCCTATTGCCCACGTCTCTCTTGAAAATGACATTTTAACCTCAATGAGACTTTTTCACCTGGATAAATAAAGGATAATAACATAAATTCCAGGAGATTAAAATAAAAGTCTTTTTTTGACTATAGTGTTCCTATCTGAACCTTGATTGCTATAAATAAACAAATGATTAAGAGCAACAGTTTGTTTATTCTTGACAGCCACTCTGTTCTCCTTTCTACTTCATAAAGAAAGACCTTGTAGTAATGATTCAACTGCATCTTTACATTTTTAATGTTCAAGATTCAAAATTCTTTATTTGAATCTGCATCACTCTGTAGTTTGTAGAAGCACCTTTAGAAAAACTTGATAAGTGATACAGTTTTGCCCCATACTTCTTTACAATATTAATACATCAGTACACTGAGGTTAGTGGGTATTTATATATGCATAGCACAGTATTCCAGTCAGGCTGAGGTCTGCAGCACCTTGATTCTTTTCTTTTTCAGCTGTTCTGTTATAGACTTGTTACTGTGCTTGGGACCATTGTCTTGTT